AACGGAGCTACTATGGTCCAAACGCGTTCGGAGCACTGGGAGCGGGTCAATTATGAAAGAGGGATCTACTTCACTTGGAGTCAAAATCTTACTTTTTATCTCTTTTCCTCTTTCTTTTATGCGACTAAAACCTTCCTCATTTCCAAATCGGATAACCTGATGTTTTGTAGGAAATTCCTCGCCGTATAACACAGACTTCTCAAGTTTCTGAAGATTTTATTTCCACTGACTTTCAAGTGCTCAAGTTGGAGTGTCAGGTCGACGAAACCGAGCATTTTCGACATCCTCTCCTTTCAACACCTAATTTGTAAGCTGAAACGCACATGATTATTTGATTTGTATATGGCCGAGAAGTTACGTCTCTAGTAACTGCTTATAACGGTCCCAGCGATCAGAAACTTCGAATTCAGACCTCAAAGGCAAGCATTGAACCTGGTGCCTTACTGAGTCCAGCGGAGAGCTTACTGACACGTTATTGTGAGAATTCACGCAAGGAATTAAGAAATGGTGTGTCGTGGAGACCCTCCACCTTCACATTCGAGACTGCCTCCACTTGGGAGGAGAGCTTTGAGGCTTGGCGGATGGGTTCTGCATGCAATCGATCCCCAAGAGGGAGTCCCATGAGATGTTCATTCACACCGTCTGAATTCCCACCTCTGACTCGCTTGAACCACTGTCAAGCCATCGTAGGTGGCATCGTTCCCTCGTCACAAGTTTGGAGCTGTTTCTGTAAGTTAGAGAGCCTGATTAAATGCAAAACGCTGGTGTCGAAAACTGCCTTTTGTGCGGTCACGACACTTAAAGGAGCGCCCGCGTTCATTTGATGTTCCTCCTTTAGATATCGTAGCTTTCGAGAGGGTTAAGGATGTACTAATTTCGCAGCTCAAAAATACGAGAGGATGGCGCCACCCGCTTGTGAAGAGGATGCCGCCCCGCCCACCTGGCTGCCATAACTGCTTTGGCTTAGCCTTTAAAGGCTGAGCCCGCTTTCAAGAATAATGAGTTATGGAGCATAATACGTGATCCAGTAGTGAAGAAAAAGCAGAAAAAATCATGGAAACTGCCCATAGAACCCTATGCTGGCCAGGTGGGCGGGCGGCCGACTCTTCACTAGCGAACGGCGCTATCCTCTCGCCTTTTTGAGATGCAAAACTAGTACATACTGCATCCCACAGGAAGGGCTATGATATCCAAAGAGGGCGCGGAAATGAAGGTGGGCACTGCCTTTAATTTCAATAGGAAAGAGAATTCACAAAAATTAAGAAATGGTAGGAAGGCAACTATTACCACCTTATAGAGCAGGAAATTTTTTACCAAACAGCATAGAACGCATTGAGACCGACTGTCACGCTCTCGGTTTCATATGAGAATTTGTGTAAGAAAAAAATGCTTGATTCATGGGCCAATCCAGTAGTAAGCACGCACTGCCAATTTGCCATGTAATCCTTCAAAGATGTTTCAGAAGAATTTGCACGATCGCCATTACCTTTGGATCCAAGATGTTCCTCTATAGGAGCTGGCTCACGCCCATCACCTTCATGTACACCAAAATATGAAGTCATCTCCAGTCGCAACCTGACTGGAGAAGACCTTTGGAATTCATGTCACCTCCAAACAGCTGCGAAACTTCTAGTATGGAGTCACCCATGGATAGCTACCTGGAGACCAGTACTCTCGATCTGGAAGACCTCCAACATCGAGCAGCTCGTCAACGTCGCTACGGTCTAGGACATCATCTTCACCGTAGTCGCCGAGGCGCGAGTTGATGGTATGGACCTGGAATGGGAAGACCGATATTTTCTTTGTAGACCCGGACTGAAGGTGAGCGCTGGCGGTTACATCGAGCAACTCGAGAAGAATATCTTCCCCACATGTCGTCGCCCGTACCTTCTTGGAAACTTTGTACTGCTACAGCATTGGGTGCCACCACATGGAATCGAAGGGCGTTGGAGAAACTCTCGCCTACTTGGAATGGAAGGGGGCTGAGTACCTAAAGAAGATGGAATATCCAAGTAGGTCACCTGACCTGAATCCCCTCAATTACCCGGTTCGGGCGGAGTTCAATACGGTGGCGGAGAAATCGACTATCTCGCTGATCTCAGGCACCACATCGCGGTCGCGTGCCAGAATCTCTCGATGGCGCTCCTCCAGAAGGCTGTGGCGGAGTGTCATGATAGTATTTATGCTCTTTAATATGGTGGTAGAAATGTCCGATCAGAATTTATAAAGTGTAACTTATAGCGCCTCGAAAGTCAATGAAGCAAAGTGACTTTTTTTGGGCCCCCCCCTGTACAGCGAGCTAGGGCTGCAGCGTGGGTTCCGTAATCTTGAAGGATGATATGCTCTTTTATCAAGTTGTTTAGAATATTAGCGAAGAAGTTCGATCATAATCTATGGATCAGGTGTTCGTTTAATAACTCGTAGATTTGGACGGTAATTTCTTTGGTCCAGTGATTACGCGACCGTCCACGAGACCTACGAAAATCCAGCAAAAGATTGTTTGGAATGGGTAGTGTGATCCGCAGTGAACAATTTTGTGCTGGTTTCGCAGCAGAAGGTTGTAATGAAAGGATTTAACGCGCCATGTTGCTCCAGTAGCACCTCCCGCTTTTCCAGTGACTCCGCCTCTAGGTGCCGCCTTCAAAATCCGCTTCACAGCTGAAGGCGATGCTCCAGGCACAGAAGGTTTCCATTCTGGCGGTTGAAGTCCGACCACTACCCATGCCAAACCCAACGATCATTTCCAGTAATGCTGTGGCTGCTCCGCTTAACTCGTCCCATTGCCAATGGTGAGAGTGAGGGGATAAGGAAACGAAACTGATAGTGTTTAGAACCCCGTGAGTGAGAACTCGTCCAAGCACGCCCTTTCTTCTCTGTATACAAGTCTGGTCTGACAATGGGTTACATTGGTGCCCAACGCATCCCTGAAGGTTTTCCCTTTTTTTTCTCTACTGTTCAGCTTCTAAACACCTTCTCGTTAGTGTATGAGACCCCTATCCATCACTTTTGATCACAAAATGTAATTTGAGGGACAGGTTGTCATCTCATTTGCGACTCAAAATGTAATCAAATGACTCAGGAAACCCGCTGTCACAAGATTTTAGTCCGTTCCGGTGCATTCCTGTTTAGCGCTCGCGGGTTGTCTGCTTCTCAGATCAGAAGAACGATCAAAATGTCTGATCCATTAATTTAATTATCTTAATGGAGTATGGTGCTGTCCCAGGAGTCTCATTACTTATCTGAATGTGTAATAACAACGTGAAACTCCGAAAATTTATTCCAAAAAACTCAAAAGACAGGTTGATATTGTTTGTTAAGTGCTGTTTAACGCCGCAGTACGCGATTCCAAAGCTTTCACAAGAATGCTGAGTTATGGGCAAAAACTTTAAAATTTTAGTCCGTTCCGGTGCATTCCTGTTTAGCGCTCGCGGGTTGTCTGCTTCTCAGATCAAATTTTTTTGAGGGACAGGTTGAGTTCAGTCATTGAGCTGAGTGGTCAAAGGTGGCCTCGGTAGCGTAATAGGGAACGCATTCGCACGGAAAGCGGAAGATGCGGGTTCGAATCCCGCCCGTGGTCCGACTTTTGCCCATAACTCAGCATTCTTGTGATATCAAAAGACAGGAAAAGCTCAAAAATTTTTCAAAATATCTTATCTTGCGATACTTCGGTGCGTTTCCTTTGCCAGGATATCTTTGCCTGAAGAACGTGCTAAGCACCGAAATATCCCAAGATAAGATATTTAAAGAAACTTTTGAGACTTTTGCTGTCTTCTTGAATTTTTTGGAATAAATTTTTGGAGTTTCACATTGTTATTACACATTCAGATTAATTATCTTAGTATTTAAATTTCCAACCCAACTCAGTAGGGAGTGCTGTGCGATATTTGTCGACGAGGTCAACGTTGAAATGTTTAAACCGTTTCAACACTTTTTTTGCTTTTTTTGGGAGCCTACACCTTAGCCTCTGTGGTTCTAGCTTATTAATTAAATGCAACAATCAGAAAATCCAGAGCTCAATGATCAAACATTCGGTCTTTAACGCGAAAGTTCGAGCTGGGAAAAGAACCACATCAGTCATCATTTCCCAGGATGAGGACATCCGTACTGTGATTTTTAACGTCCCGGCGTTGCTTTTGTCTCTTCACCTCCATATTTATGGAGATAAGATGTAGCGAATCCCATTCCCTACCGACCGCCGTCCGTAGGTGATAGAGAATTACTTCCGTTTTTTTAGTTTGACCCTTCTATGTTGGGCTGGAGTTGAGTTGTGACGTCATCGGGACTGCTAGAGTGGGACTGGACGTTTGATGTGGTAGTGCTCATCTCCTCCTGAATACCCACACTTGATTGGGGGTCGAGAGGACGGCTCCGCGGAAAAACTCACCGGCGAGCTCACGCACTGCGTAATTACTGTCGCTGCAGCGATGAGGTGCCAAAGAGGAGACAATGCACTTCCTGGCATGTGCCAATGTGTAGTAAACAACAGTAGGACAAGGAGGAAGGCAGGAAGTAAGGGTTACTTATTAGTAACACCAGAAAATTGAAGGCAGCTGCAAGGAATATCCTAAGAACGTAACCGGCACCAATGACGAAAGGCGAACATGGGCTGATGAAGGGCTAATCCATCAATCTTTATGGAAGCGCCTACCAGTGTGCAACCATTGCTGCACCGTCGCAATGACATCGCTCGGCACGCGCCACGTGCGCGCCGCCGGTGAATTTTTCGCTCCTCTCAGGAGGAACGGAGTGAGCTCCCCTTGCATTGCTCCACAAATAATGATCTGTTAGTGATCGACTTAGAAAGAAAACAGTCAGGACGTTGTGGTAACGCCGCTGGTGGGCTCATTTCATCAATCTGGAAATTGCATCGACTGTTGGCGACGTTCAAGTAGCACGCTGAGGCTTCTGAAATGGCCGTCGAAGCGTCACTCCGAAATACTGAAATGCTTTACTAGAAACTTTAAAAAGTACTCCATTGTCAAACACTGACGTAGTAAACAATGATTCTAGCTGTTAGGAGGCCAGAAGACTACGATCGAATCTGTGGCCGGAATGGTCATATCAAAAAGACAAGTATATCTTCAGATTACTCTGGTGATCAGCAGCCAACGCACAGTCGCTCGAAGAGGATGAGGACGTCATTCAAACATCATCAGCTACGCACAATGAAACAATATTTCAATTTGAATCACAATCCGGATGCCAAGGATCTTAAGCAACTGGCTCAAAAAACCGGACTCACCAAGCGGGTATTGCAGGTAAGCTGGTTGAGTCATAATAGAACATTAGTGTATTTGGAAAAACTGTTACAGGCAAGTTTTATATTCTAACCCGGTCACACGCTCATGGAAAAGTATATCACATATCTCGGTAGGGCTTGTCCATAATCCTTAAAGGCAGTTGGCACGATAAATCGCTATACAGCTGTAGGATTTGTACGACTGGCTTAACAGAATTCCGTGACCTCGGACAGGCGCTCCGTGGCGCCTTTTCCAAGGAGGGTACCCCTATAACGCCCTATCGAGCAACAACATTCCGTCGCCTTCCCTCGCCCGCCCGCCCACAACGGACGACCGTTCCTGACGCTCGTATTCATTCATTTGCTAAGCAAATTATGAAGCAAAGGGATTTGGTATGAAGCGGCCGTGATGCTGCATGCATATATGGGTACACATATGCAGCCGTATCTTCGGTAGCGGTGATTGGCAAGATGCTCACGGGAAACTCTTCCGAAATCGAATTTCAATAACCGTTTCACTCCGTTCTTTCGCCGTTTCCCCACTACATAGCGCCCTACTAGCATTTTAGGCCGAGTGGGAAACCATCGTGCCAACTGCCTTTAAAAAAAAAAAAAAAAAAAAAAAAAAAAAAAAAAAAAAAAAAAAAAAAAAAAAAAAAAAAAAAAAAAAAAAAAAAAAAAAAAAAAAAAAAAAAAAAAAAAAAAAAAAAAAAAAAAAAAAAAAAAAAAAAAAAAAAAAAAAAAAAAAAAAAAAAAAAAAAAAAAAAAAAAAAAAAAAAAAAAAAAAAAAAGAGCGAGATCAGCTGCGTATCTGTGAACAATGGTTTGTCTCGGTTAGTGCAGAAAGCTTTCACCGAGATTGGTTCACTGTCGCTTTTTGCGCACACACTGCCGGCTCCCTTCCTGCAGCTGACCAGCTTCACTGACATCGGAGTTCTCGGACCGCCTTAAACATCTCCGGGAATGGGTTGTAGCCTACACTGCTCGGAGATTCACAAGAAGAGTTGAGATGAATATACGGTCATCTAATGCCCGAACTATAGTAAAAGAGGACGTTCACTGCGAATTGATTTCTATACAAGCTTTATTAATCTGGACTCGGAGCAGGGTGGAGGCTCGCTAAGAGAAACCCATCAGGAGGAGGGTATCGCATGACACGCCACTTCCCTGATCCCAGTGCTGTATCCTGAGGAAAGTTTATACCTAATCCCAGTGCTGTATCCTGAGGAAAGTTCATAACAGTTAAGAAGAAAGTCCTGGGTTCAAACTCCGTGTCCACTATCACCCAGGCCGACCAGGCCTTCTACTCACCGGGGACGGTAAATTGGTACAGGAGGATAAGAACATTGACCTATATGTGGCTCCACAAGTCACTGTATAGGCAGAAGTGCAGAATCATTGTGCAGCATTCAGTGAGCCACTACGATTCTGAACGGAAGTATAATGCGTGGTGCATTCCACAAAGGGATTGAATGACAGCGAAGACTTTAGACTTAAGACTTCTATGAAGAATTAACCCCCAATGTACCCTTGTATTTCTTAGAAGAGAGAGATTAACCATGGCTATGTTTTCAATCAAATTCGTGCGTCGGTCGTAACTGAGAACAACAAAGGGCGTGGTTGCGAGAGCATTGGTGGCTGTAAGGGTCTAGAAGAGGGAGAGAGGCATAGACGTAAGAGAGTAAAGTAGTGCGTACGAGAGTGGAGCCAGCACGAGAGTACGCAGTTGTCACCGGAACGCGCCTACCGTTCTCCTTCGATGTGGACATTATTTAACTTGGGTTAGATGCGAGAAACACTCACAATATTTCACAGGTATGGTTCCAAAATGCAAGAGCGAAATTCCGACGATCGATGCATAACAGTGATGGTTCTAGTATTTCTCCGTTCCCAGTGGTATCGTCAACTAGTCAAGACGAACAGGTAGAGTTGAGTTTCAAATGTGATCGTTCTTCTATTGCTGCAATTCTAGGGACCTAAGAAACTCATAAAAAATTCTTGGAAAAAATGGAGTTTGCGACTTCATAGGCAAAAAAATTCAATTGACGAAATCGGAAGCCGTTATCAAAGGGCCATTTCTCTCACCTTGCCAGATTGCAGTGCAACAATGATCCACCCGCCTTCATCATTATCTCCATCACTGATCCCCATTATCCCCTGGGCCCACTACAGATTCTCAAAAGAGCGAACGTAGTCGGAAACTAAGGAACTTTTGATGCGGTGTGGTTCGCTTGCCAGGGAAACTTGGGGGTGGACGACTTTGCGAAGATACTCTAGTTCATAATCTCTGACGTTAAAAGTCTGCCTACATTTGTGGCCTACCAAGATATTACTTGCTCAGAGCAAATTCGAGTTTAGACCACGTAAAGTGTCTCTTTACACGAGTGCTGCGATAAGAAGCCTCTTGGAGTGGATCCAAAATTTGCTCCTCATCCACCATAACTGACCTTCCAAGTCCATGTCCCCATTTTTGAATTTCGGAACAAGTTACACCGCAGGGTTCTGGGAACGCTGGATCGGCTCTCGCTCAAGAGACCAAGCCTTCCATTCCCAAGAGGTCTCTAAATTAGTGCCAGCCTTCTTTAAAAAAACTGCATAGTTTTTGCAAGGCGTCTGCAGAAGGCAGCAGCAGCTGCAGCTTCAGTTCGTGAAAAGCTTGTAAATTGCTTTACATGATATTTGTTTATTTCCACGTTCCAAAATGGTTCATTGCACTTTGTTCCATCTGAGATAGTTTTTTGCGGCCACTATTTTACTTCGCTTTTTTAGGTCGAAACAGAGCAGTAGGAGCAATTTTTCAATGCTCTTGAATGCACGAGAGGAGTACACAGTCTTGAAGGCACAGCCTTCACAACAAGGTGGTCGGTGCTATCATCGTCACCGCGGATTCCACAGAATCTAATGCTCCTGTTCCTGTTTGTTACCTGTAGTGATATGTATTGCATTCTTTGTTGTTCTTAATGTATGTTAGGTGTAGATAATGAAAAAATGAAAATATGAACATGAACGCTTTCGTGGTTTACGGCCGACTGTATCGTGGATCGGATTTGATTGTGATCGTATTCGGTAAGTTGTTCCAAAGGCGTACGGCGGTACTCTGTCTGAAATGGTGACAGGGTGCTATCTATTGTAAATGGCGAAAAAACAGTCAATAACCTGCGAATAAGAGCCTTCAATCTCCATGACTTAGAAAGCAATTTCGGACGAGTTTCCCGTTGGCATCGTGCCAGCAACCGCTACGGTAGATACGGCTGCATGTATGTACTCATATATCCATGCAGCACCGCAGCCGCTTCATATCAATCCCTTCGCTTCATATTGTACTTTGCAAGTAAAGCGATACGAGCATCAAGACGGGTCGGTGTCCGTCCGGGTCGCTGTGTTGCAGCTTGATAGGGCCTTATAACAGTACCTTCCATAGGAATTAGCTACGCAGCGCAAGGGAAATATGTTCCTTTGAACTGCTACAAATCAAATTAATAGAGAGAGCCTGATAGTTCTTTTGCTGATTATAGCAAGTACAACAGCGAACTTTTTAGGCTATTGTGTAGGACACATCGCATTTGAGGGCCCTGCGATCCCATATTGAGGTTGAGTGATGGCGACCGTAACGAGGCTTAACAGCGAGGACTGCTTTATATCCTCATCTTAACATATATACGATATATTTTTGAGGGTCGTTTGATGTCTCCGAAAGGAAGCCTGAGCAGTGGCCCCGTTTCTGGACTGAAGAAGATTTTCCTCGCTAAAATCTTTGAAGGTTAATCACTTGGAGGAACGTGGTCCTTCTTGACAACACACGCTAGCATAGCAATAGCCAAATACATTTATTGCTTTAGCGTAGATATACAGAGTTTAGAGCGTTGCAGTCGCGGGTGGTCTACTTTGAGATGTATTCGATGAGCTTCTGATGTGGCACAATACCACCAACAGCGACCTAAAGGAATTGTTATCACTTCAATGAGCCGCAGTTCAAGTATTTTTCACCTTCGATTCTCACTTTATACATTCTTACCTGCCTCAACATTAAATCGATTTCTTGAAGACTCATACGTTCGCCAATCGAGGCGAGTATGGATCGAAGCTCCTGAACAGGAATCGACCGAGTGCCGGATCTGGAATCGCTTCATTGAAGGTACAATCCGCGATCAGGTATAGAAGTTGAAAATACGGCGTTGGGAGGGTAGTGTGGTCCGCGACGAACAACCTTGTACCGGTTTCGCGGCAAAAATTGTAAGGGAGGGCGCTATAGCGCAATATAGGTTCAGTGACGCCTCCTTTTTCCAGTGACTCCGCCTCCAGGCTCCGCCCTTGAAGCCCTCCTCCCGAGAAAAACGAAGCAGCAGGACGAAAACGAGTAAAAATCGTCACTTGTTGTTCGTAGAGTTCTTATCGGGATGAGGGTGTAGTGTTGGAGATGGAGTTAATTGGCACGTACAAACTGGGTCGAAATGGGGTTCTATTTAGGGCAGTTGGCATGTTTTTCTGCTTTTTTTCTTCACTATCGAGTTACTCAGAAACCTTTCGTTTATATGCAAACCCTTAGCTCTATCTATGATGGCCAACGATCGCAGCCCTTGCTATTAAGGTTACGTTCATACCTTGCAGCATAGCGTTCCGAGCGTCCAGCAGCATCAGCGACTTGGAATGTATGACTATCGATCTAGCGTCTATAAGCGTCCGCCAGCATTCACCAGCGTCGGGAATGGAGCGGAGGGAATGGCGTGATTGGAGGCTAGCAGACAGCTGGTATAGTATGCGTAGATATTAATTGAAGTGGGACAGATCGCTGGTAGAGGGTGTGGAGCGGTAATACTGTAGCAGACAGTTCGTACCCTTTTGTCGCACCATGCTCTCTACCAGCAGTCTGCTGCTGGTTGCTGGTGGACGCTGGTAGACGATGGCAGACGCTAAGTCGAAACCCATACTTCCTTGCCCTCGAGATTCTGATGGACGCATAGACGCTGGTGGACGCTTGCAAACGCTGGATCGATACCTACACCTTCCCAGTCGCTGACGCTGTCGGACGTTTGGAGCGCTGGTAGACGCTGCTGGGGCTGGAGGATGCTGCGGCAGAGTATGAACGCGGCGTAACGGATCATTTACGTCTTACAAGACTTTAGGAATTCATAACGCGGCAACAGCGTATTGCGGCCGGGCTGCTCTCGTTCGTGCAGGTCGGCAACAAAGGCTGTCAGACAAATTTTCATATGTGTTTGTGAACAGTAAAAAGGCTGTTCAAGGTCCAGCATAAAATCTTTCAGTACCGTCGCTGAAAAAGTAAAATGTTAGTACCGTCGCTGGAAAAAAAATTTCAAAAAAAGGAAATGGGAAGGAAAAGAAATTTAGAAATAAAATTCGACATCCAGTAGTACCATGATATGCTCACGACTCGACCAGACGACGCCAGGGGATGTAAGTATGCTATGCCTAGTGATGACTACGCTATGCTATGTAATTAGCTATTGAATGCGCGCAGCATTGTAGTCATTCAATCTCCTTGCGGTTGGTTACTACCCTACAATGAACTGATTCATCCGTTCGCCGGATGGTATGAGTAGTACTGCGTCCCCCCCCCCTTCAGAAGAAAGATCATTGAAAAGTTAGTTATTCATTTATACTGTGGGAAGACTCAGTAATACTACAACCTATAAAAGTCGCTGCGCGCTGCGAGGTAAAGGAAGCTGAATGGTCTGACCGGGAGGCTTGTCGCCGACTGCTCATCGCTCATGAAGCACCCAGCAGCAGCGTGAGGGCATATCACTAGTTGCGGATTTTGGTCGGGCTCGTACGACCCCTCACCCTCCATTTTTTTGAGGGAACTCATACGACCCCCCCCCCTCCCAGCGACGGAACGACCCTCCCCTTTACGACGTCCCTGAAACAACAAAAATCATTATGAAAAAATTTTTCTCGGCCCAGATACAACCCTCCCATCCTATTGGGAAATCCTCAACGACGATGTGCCTTGAGCAGCGCACTGCGCAATCCATTGTAATCAAACTGAGGTCCTCGAGATTTATGGTGAACTCACCTGTCTAATCCTTTCAGGGCCTTGATGATCTCGGTAAGTTCATCACCGCTGTTGTGTTCTTTTTTAGCGATTTCGAGGAATGCCGCGAAGTCAACTGGTTTTCCTGGAAATACGTTTCTTTAACACATTCCGGACTGCGTGACACACATGGTGTGTCATACTTTTTTCTCTCTGCACTGTCTCATACGGTCCATTTGGCATCTTATTCATGCTCCGAAGTTATCAGAACACGTTTTTAGGCACAGAATACACATATTTCATAGAAAGTGAAAGAAACAGATGAAATTGCTGATTATCGGTTTGAAAAATAACGAAATTATGCGGAGAACCTCGAACAACGGCGGTCCGGAATGTGTTAAAACGATGAACAATATGAAAAACGTCTTTACAACGCTCAAAAACCACTTTCTTTTCTATTATGGTTTTGAGTTTATCTTCCACCAGCAATTATCGGAGTTCATCATAGTCACTGTTTAGAACTATTCACTGATTTAAACTCGTAATATATCGGTGTGAAATTCCCCGGTTTTCATATCATTTTGAGAAATTCCAGATGCGAGCTGTTAAAAGGCATAAGGACGATAATTTTTGTACTCGGTATAAAATGCTAGCAAGGTGCTACATAAAGATAAAATAGTGAAAAAACAAGTGAAATGGTCAAAAACTTGCGAAGGAAAGCCTTCGTTCTCAATGACTCAAAAAGCAATTTCGGACGAGTTCCCCCCTTGGCATCGTGCCATAACTACATTAGATACGGCGATACGGCTGCACGTACAGTCCTCATCATTGCGGACCGGTGGGGCGTGTCAGTGCGGCTGCGTTTGGCGCGGTGCCAAAGTCGTTCTGCACCAGTTGTTGAAGCGGGCAAGTGACATTACTGTATTATATCCTTCGTATTACTCGTTTTCTACCACTTTTTGTCGCATACGCGTTTCAACAAAAAGGCTGAGAACGGCTTCAACAGTGTGCACACTCATACTGGCTGACACGCCCAACCGTCCGCAGCGAAGTGGAGTCTACTCATATACCCATGCAGTACCGCTTCATATCAATCCCTTCGCTTCACATTTTACTTCGCAAATGAAGCAATACGAGCATCAGGTACGGTCGTCCATTTGTATGGCGAACGGGCACGCTGGGCGTCTAGGTCGGTGTGCTGCACCCGATAGGGCCTTCCAACTCTTCGGAAAAGCAGCGCCTGCTCAGGGGTGAGGAATTCCGTCCTGTGTCAACTGCCTTTGAGCATACAACACCCACCCACCCTTAGGTGTTCGACACAAATTAATGTTTTTTTAATTTTTTTGAACCGTCAGATTGGGTATCGTAGTTTCCGCGATCACTGCAACCAGATGGTACTGCGTGGTAATGAGCGCGTAGCACAAATGTGTCGCCTTAATAACAGCATGTTAGTCCACGTATCACCACACACCCATATGTACATTTTATTTATTTATTTATTTATTCTGCGTCCACCGGACGCGCCAAGGTCATTCAATAATAGCAGGTCAGTAGGTGAAACACGTAGTATTGACTAAGGAAAGATATAAATTAAAAACTCAGCTTAAACAGAGATTACAACACAGAAAAACTTAGGAAACACAGCTCCGGTCGCACTGAACTAGCTACCCTCGTAGGACAGATCTAGGGGATAGCCGAAATGAAAAATAATTTCATAG